TGATGCTGGCTTCTCGGGATCGACAACATCCTGTGTCCGCATACTGGCCGAAGTATCGTAGAGCACGACCAGAGTCGGTCGCTCTTCTGGCTTGAATTCCTGTGTCAGTTCCGGTTGGTTCAGTGTAATGACTGCCAGGAGTACCAGAGCGAACCGTAAGAGTTCCAGCAGCCCGATAGATCGGCTGTAACCACTCCGCTGCCAACTGATCCAGCAGCAAACCCCCGCTGCAATGAGCAGAGCGACAGATAGGATCAGAGTTGTATTCGTCCAGTAGAAACTCATCTTTTATTTTTCATTGTCCATTAGCTTCCTGGTTGTTTAACCAATATTGGAAGCGGCTACGGGTGAAGCTCTTGGGACCTCTTGTTTTTCTGGGATGCACAAGATTGCTTCCAGCAGTAAGGCTGCGATCATGATGATCAGGAAGGTTCTCCAAATTTCACTGGCGAGGGCCATGGCACTACCAGCTTCATCCTGAATTCGTGTGTAATTCAATCCGCTGAGCGCCGCCGCAAGTGATTCATCATCCACAATTGCGGCAGCATCTTCTGTTTCGGGCCGATTGAGTGCATGCACAATCTTGTTCTCATCGACATAAAGACCTGGATTGTTCGCCCGCTGTGAAAGTAACTGTTCACCCGAGAGTTCATCCAGCGGCTTCCAGTCAGCTGCGAACTCAGAAGAGATCTGCCCGGCGGCATGTTGTTGAGCAGAACTGAGCGCTCCCGCTCCACGAGCGAGCGCACGATGAAGCATGACATACAGAGCGATGCCATTAGTCGAGAGATTGGAATGAGTTGGCGTTGGTAATGTCGTACAGAAGTAGGCACTTCCCTGTCCGACAGCTGTTCTCAGCAACAAAGGTATTTGATTCTCAAACTGAGCCAACAGTGTGAACTCTTCCGCCTCAATTGCACAGTATTGAGCAATCTCTAGCTGCCCGACAGGAAGTGGAGTCCCACTTTGCGAATTGGCCAGCAGCCCTGCGTCTGTTCTCCATCGCTGCGGTGACAAAGGCGATTGTCGCTGATCCTGCCAGGCTTGCCAGGAGACACCCTGGAAACTTTCTTCGGTTGGAGTTTCCGGCGGAAAGAAGATGACGGTTCTTCCAGAAGACAAAAAGTTCTGTAATTGATTCGAGAGAACCTTATCGGGCAAAGCTCCCTGCCAAATGATCAGACCCGTCTTCTCCCAAGGGAGAGTCGCAGCTGCGCTCGTGGGGAAGACCTCTGCTTCGTATGTCAGTGTATTATCGACACCGTTGGCAATGACGATCTCCATCAGTTCTGAGAACTCAGGATCGTCTGAAATGATCGCAGCCCGTTGCACTGCTGGTTCTGAATAGACGAAACGAAAGATGTTGTCAGCCGGGTTAGCGTCCCCTGGGAGTTCAGCGCGTCCCCATCCACTTTTGCTTTCGCTGGAAACGGGAATGACATGTCCATTGCGAACAACTTCGGTTCCCGTCATTTCGAGTTCGAGGACAGAACGAGCCCCATCGAGGACAATACTGACCGGTACCAGTTGAGGGCCGTCGATCGGTTCATTACTGAAGACGCGGATATCCATGACCAGTTCTGCTCCTGAACCGGTCTCACGTCGGTGAACACCACTGACGCGTATGCCGAGGTTGTTCTGTGCGACGCTCGGATAATTCAACAAGTATAGACGCGTCCCTTCCCGATCGGAGAGCTGGCTGCGAATCGTTTGCCAACGACCGCCAGAAGGGTTCCAGTCAGCGAGCCGTAGTCAGAGCAGATCCAGACGTCTGTTCGTCCCGTTTCATTGGTGACAATATACTCGGTGACTTGTTCCATTAAAGTTGGAATGTCAGCGGCGGTTGCTGTTGGTCCGGTCTCAGGTAATTCGAGCAGATCAGCCGCCGAATCAATGAGACGCGGTTCGGAACTGGTGCTTTCAAACAGAACGAGTTGTGTGTTCCGACCGGTGTTCGTGATCAGTTCGGAGAGTTTGTTGAGGGCTGTTTCACGCTTTGATTGAGTGCTGCCAGGACCTTGCTCCTGCATGCTGGCTGAACGATCTAAGACGATAATGGTCGTGTCGGGTGTACTTCCGGAAGTCAGTCCTAGCCAGCCCCCGGCCATCGGTCGACTGACAGCGAAGATCAGTCCCGCAATCGCGAGCATTCGCATCAGCATGATCAGGATGTATCGCAGGCGGGCAATCCCTTTTGACATTCGTTTGGCCTGCAATAGGAACATTGTCGCTGCCCAATGAATCGTTTTGTGGCGATTCTGATTAATCAAGTGAATCAGAATCGGCAACGCGATCAAGGGGAGTGCGAACAACAAATATGGTTGCAGGAATGTCATACTCTGAGTGAGTTGGTGCTCATAAGAGCTTTAATTGCGTTAATAAATTTGAATGAACAGACACATTGCTTGACTTACTTTTTGCGAGCAAGAAGGAAATTCGCCAGGACTTCACCATAGTCCTGTTCAATACTAACGCGACGGTAATCAACAACGGAGTCCTTCATGATTTGGTTGATACTTTCCAGGTAGTTCTGCACGGCTGTGCGGTACTGTTTGGCAATGGTCGTGGGATCAACCAGCATCGACGGTGCACCTTCCAGATCAACGAATCGAATCGGTCGGTCAAACTGAAAATCGATCTCGTTCTGTTCTAACAAATGGAAGACAGCAACATCGTGTTTACGATAACGTAAGTGTTGGAAGCAGGATTTCAATTCTTCCGTCTCAACGAACAGGTCAGAGATGATGACGACCAATGCACGTTGAGCAATCTTCTCAGCTGCCTGATGAAGTGCTTCCGGGAGGCCGGTTTCCCCTTTGCCTTCCATGTCACTCAGTTCATCAAGAACGTGGCGCAAGTGAGCTCCACTTCGCTTGGGGGGGATCTCTTTACGAAAGTCCGTTCCAGCTGCGTAGAGCCCAACGGCATCACCTTGAAAGGCAGCCAAGTATGCAAGTGTCCCAGCGAGTTGACGAGCGTAATCGATTTTCCGTTTACCGACCTCTTGAGTGCCGTCAAGACCGTAGTTCATGGAACCACTGACATCGACAATCAAACAGAGACGCAGATTCGTATCGGCTTCATACTCTTTAATGTAGAAGCGATCACTGCGACCCCAGGCTCTCCAATCGAGTCGTCGGGTATCATCACCGGGGACGTATTTGCGGTATTCCGAGAATTCAAGAGATGATCCCCGCGTCGGACTGCGGTGTCGTCCAGAGACGCTCCCGACCATTGGTGTGCGTGCATCCAGTGCAAGGCCAGACAGCCTGGAAACCACTTTGGGATCGATGAACTCACGCATGAGGAGAGACTAGGGACTAGAGGCGAGGGGCTAAGGAATAAGATCGATTCGCGGCTGAATGCTATCAGCTGTTGGCGTTTTCAGCGTTCAGTTCATCGACGAGTCGGCGGATGACATCGTGGCTGCGAATGCCTTCGGACTCGGCGTTGAAATTAGTCAGGACACGGTGCGAGAGAACGGGTTCTGCTACTGCGAGAACGTCTTCCAGGCGGGCCATGTAACTCCCATGTAAGGCAGCGTGAGATTTCGCTCCCAGTATCAAATACTGCACAGCCCGCGGCCCCGCTCCCCAGGCGACCAGCGGTTTAAGCCATTCCGGGCAATCACTATCTGCCGGTCGGGTGCGACGGACAAGATCGACAGCGAACTCATAAATGTGTTGCGGCACAGGAACTCTTCTGACTAACGACTGGAAATCAATCACCGTCTCTGCATCGAGGATCGCTGTTAAGGGTGGCAGGCTTCCACCAGTTGTCGTCCTGGCAATTTCAATCTCTTCTGTTCTCGAAGGATAATCAACATTGATTAAGAACATGAAGCGGTCCAATTGTGCTTCAGGCAGTGGATAAGTTCCTTCCTGCTCGACAGGGTTCTGCGTCGCCAGTACAAAGAATGGAGGAGACAACTCATAAGGACGACCAACAACAGTCACACGATGTTCCTGCATCGCCTCCAGCATCGCTGCCTGTGTTTTCGAGGGAGCCCGGTTGATCTCATCTGCGAGGACGATGTTGGCGAAGACAGGACCTTTGACGAATTCGAACTCTCGGCGACCTTCCTGTGATTCTTGCAGAATGTCGGTCCCGGTAATGTCCATCGGCATGAGATCGGGAGTGAACTGAATTCGGCTGAAGCTCAGGGACATTGTCTCAGCCAATCGACGCACAAGTAACGTCTTTGCCAGACCAGGAACGCCCATCAATAAGGAATGTCCCTGAGCAAACAGGCAAATCGCTAATTGCTCGACGACCACTTCCTGTCCGACGATCACCTTGGACAATTCAGACTTGAGATGTGCGAAGACCTCCCGCAGCCGATCAATCGCAGCGACGTCGTCACCATGTAATTCTTGAGGAGCTTCCGATACTGATGAAGGAGTCGCAGACATTTGTTTCCGTTTCTAAATAGTACTTCTATGTTTTACGTCTGAAAATTTCGGTGAAATTTAAGTGTGCTGTGACCTGACTGCGTCAGAACTGTATCAGCCGACTTAGGGCTTTGCCATTAATCAGGAATGTTGAAACTGAATTGCCCCATGTTTTGCATTTGCAAAGTAACGTGACGACCATTGATCTGATACTGATCTTTCAAGCAGTCCCACGTGTCCATTTGCGTTGGTTCCAGCACTTTCTTGAGCTCACCTTCATTGAACTTGACCAATGGAATCGCCATCAGAACAACTTCATACATGTATTCATATCCTTGAAAATCACTCTTCGGCATATTTTTGAGGAGCATCTCTTCAAGTTGCTTTCGTTGGTCATTGGTCAACCACAATTCACGATCAAAGAAAGAAAGCAGGTATCGTGTCTTGATCCCTTTTGCAGCCTCTTCACGTTCCTTGGCAATCTTGCTTGCTTCGATTTCGAGACCAGCGATCGCATTCTTCCAGAGTTGATGCTGATAGATTGATCTCGGCTGCGGAACGGAAATGCTGAACCCGAAATTGCCCCCGCCCCCCCCGACACCCGCTGCCCCCCACTCTCCTAATACGCAGTTGTTGTCGCGTACTCGTCTTCCAGGAGTCAATGCCATAGAGCACTGTTCCTTTTGCAGCGAGTTGCAGGTGATTGATCCCAGCTTGATCGAGCCCATGTTCTACTTCGTAAAAAGCAATCTGGATGTTGGCTATTTCCTGAAGGCGGTTTTGCTGTTCCTCAATTGCCTTATCGAGCGTTTCGTACCAACTATCGGTGCCATCGTTTGACATGAATGTAATGTAGCGTTCGCTGGCGGGGCCATTGACGTTCCCACCGATCACTCTTTTCAACCTTTTCTTCTGAGCAGGGTTCAATAAATCCTGATCGAGTGTACTTAAAAATTTGTGAGGCTGTTGGTATTTCAGATAGTAGTTCTGGTCCGTCAATGAGTAGAGTTGCTGGCTGGAAATGCCCTTCATTGATTTTGAGAGATGTTTCCTGACGATTTTCTCTTGCTCTGCTGTAAAAAACAATTCCTTGTTGAGCAAGTTGAAGACCCAGTCACGTTCAATCTGTTCCAGTTGGGCATTTCTTTCTTCAGCAGCCTCATTCAGTTTTTTTCGCTGCTCTTCGGTCAGCTTATTCTCAATCTCACGCTTCCAGACTGAAGAACGAAAGTGGCTGGCGGCACCATCGACAACAAAACGAACAGGCGCATCGTCGGCAAAGCCGTGATTGTGGCGTTGCTGGTTCTTCGCGAATTGATCCTGGAGTTCTTTGACGTATTGCAGGAACAAGGTTTTGAATTCTTCTTCCTGCTCTTCAGAGAGATCACACTGAGTGTCGATCCAACGGAGTTTACCAGTAGCGAAATTCAGTAACCTCTCTTCCCGCTTTTTCATCATTCCTTCAGGGGGAGGCGGGAATTGCTGAGCCATGACAGCGGGAACAGCTTGCCTTTGTTCTCCCATGAGGCCACGAAAAACTTCTCCCAGAAAATCGGAAAGTCCATCGTATGCGGATGAGTGTGCGGGCGTTCCAAATAAGAAGCAAAGCCCGAGCATCATTGTCAGTAACGATTTTTTAGCAACATACGTAAGATTCATCGCTTCGCAGCAAAACAGCCGACTGAAACGAGAAGCAAAGCCCCGTTGCAACTTACCTGCGTCCCCACAGAATAACCTGCAAATTTTTTTGAACAGAGAATCAGTAGGACGATTACGGATGGCCGAACCCTGCCTGGAGACTGAATCTGATTGTTGATACCCAAACGGTCTGCGAAAAGCCAACGCTTGAGAGAGATACGCATTTGAGACGCGGAAGTGATCAAAAAATTCCAATGAGTTTTCGAAGATAACTCGATTTGGTCAAAACATCTACTCTCACTAATGTAAGAAGTTTGTAAAGATGGGGGAGTGAGAACTCAGGATTAGTGAGCAGAGCGTCGTACGAATCATCCTGTTTACTGGACTTCCTGCCTTATGGCTGTTATGACACGTCTTTACAGGAAACCTTAAAACTCGTTTCACGTTCTGTCAGGAGTCAGAAATCAATGTCATTTCAAGTTGGTGAAGCCCTCGTTGGTGATGGTAATGAAGTCGCACACATCGATCTGATCATCGGCGACAAGAGTGGTCCTGCGGGGATCGCTTTCGCAAATGCTCTGTCAACTCAGTCACACGGTCACAGCAATCTGCTGGCAGTCCTTGAGCCAAATCTCGCTGTCAAACCAGCAACTGTCATGATCACCAAAGTGACTATCAAAGGTGCAAAACAAGCTGTTCAAATGTTTGGACCTGCTCAGCGAGCTGTTGCTGATGCAGTTGCGAATTGTGTCGCTGAGGGAACCATTCCTAAAGATCAAGCAGAAAACCTCTGCATCGTTTGCGGTGTGTTCATTCACTGGGAAGCTGATGATGATCAGAAGATTTATCAGTACAACTACGAAGCAACCAAGCTCTCAATTGAGCGAGCAATGAAAAACGAGCCAAGTGCTGACGAAATGGTTGCTAAGAAAGATAGCTCTGCCCATCCATTCTTTGCTAAGAGCTAACTTGAGACACATTCATTACGATTTGATTTTTGTCC